AAATCATGAACATAAATGGGAGCTTTGTGCAAACACATCATGATTTAAACTCATGACGTAAGTGATGTAATGGAACCTAAGCATAATATCGAAATTGGCTGCTCATTTTGAGTCTTTGGCTCTCAGGCTGTAACTGCAATATTCACAGACAATACAAATTATTTTGAAGGCTCCCCTCTTCCACATAATTACTGGGCTGAAGGTAGTTTCCAAGTTTGGAAATTCCAGATTTTATCACTTCAGATGGAAAACTTCGATCTCAATGTTCACCTCATCCAGCCATTGCACTCTGTTTGCAAAGCAGGTGCACTTTAAAATCTTCATTGTTTTTCTCTGTGCTGTTTTCTGCAGTTTTTGATATCTTGGACATTTAGTCAGTGTTTAGTACATATCCCTTTAGGATTTAGTTTCATTGGCCTCACATTTCAGTATGAGCTAATTTTTGCAAATTCCAGATGCAAATCATTCTGATAAAAATACCAAATACAATCATTTACTTAAAGAAATGTTGGATTCTGTTAAATGGAGAGGGAGAAAAAAGGACAGAAGGAAAGGAAAGCTGGTAACATTGAGTCAACCAAACAGCCAAAAGAAGACACAAAATGTTTTTGATATTTTGTGACAGGGAAAAGTTTGCATTCCAGCTATGAATAGACTTTTCATGAGGCCATGAAAAGGTTGGAAGAGTCTTTGCATGATCCTGTGCACATGATGATTCAGGAGTCCTCAAGAAATCCTGGCCCAACTTCTGCAGCCCTTTGAGTATCTCTACACTGTATTAGTTCTTACTACATATTCCAGAACTCTTCCATTGGAAGAGTGGGTGAGTTATAGTTAAGGTCTCATTAATGCTGATATGTGCAGCCATTCAGTACTTCCTTGTTCCTTCAATACTAGAGCTAGTCCAAAACAACCTTCGCCCTGTAAGACATACAGTGTGGTTTACCAGGACATTGCTAGAACCTCTTTCACTCTGGAAATGCCCCTATGCATAGAATAGTTGGCAGGGACCTTAAGGATCATCTAGTTCCAACACCCTTGCCATGGGCAATTACTTCACCCATTAGAACATGTTGCTCAGGGCCCCATCCAACCAGGCCTTGAACACTTCCAGGGATGGGGCATCCACTTCATCTCTGGGCCACCTGTTCCTATGCCTCACCACCCTCACAATAAAGAATTTTTTGTAAGAGCTAATCTGAATTTTCTTTCTTAGTTTATAACCATTTCCCCTTGTCTTATCACTATCTCCCTGTGTAAAACATCGCTCTCTCTTTTATAAGCCCCTTTTAAGTAGTGGAAGGCTGCAATGAGATCTCCCCAGAGCTTTCTCTTCTCTGTAATGAACAACCCCAAATCTCTCAGCCTTTCCTCATAGGAGAGGTGCTTCATCCCTCTAATCATCTTGGTTGCCCTCCTTTGGACTTGTTTCTACAGTCAATGGATGTCCTTCCTGTGCTGAGGAATCCAGACCTGGACACAGCACTCCAGGTGGTGTGTCATGAGGGAAGAGTAGAGAGTGACAATCACCTCCCTCGACCTGCTGGCCAGTCCTCTTTTGATGCAGCCCCAGATACCATTGGTCTTCTGAGCGAGCACACACTGTTGGCTCATGTCCAGCTTTTCATCCTTGAAAACCCCAAGTCCTTCTCCATAGGGCTGCTCTCAGTGGATTGTTCTCCCAGTCTGGACTCATGTCTGGGATTGCCCCAGCCCAGGTGCAGCATCTTGCACTTGTACTTTTTGAACTTCATGAGGTTCCTACGGGCCCACCTCTTAAGCTTATCCCCCTAGATGGCATCTTTCCATCTGTTGTGCCAAATGCACTACTCAGCTTCATGTCATATGCAAACTTGCTGAGGGTGCACTCAATCCCACTTTCTGTGTCACTGATAAATTAAAGAGCACCAGTCCCAAGACAGAGCCATGAGGAACACCACTCTTCACTGGCCTCCATCTGGACACAGAGCCACAATTCTCTCTCTGCATCCATCCAGCCAATTCCTTATCCACCAAATAGTCCATCAATCAAATCCATGTCTCTCCAATTTGGAGATAATGATGTCATGTGGGACCAGGTCAAAGGCCTTACAGAGGTCTGGATAGGTGATAATCTTCCCTTGTCGACTGCTGTAGTCACTCCATCATAGAAGGCCACCAGATTGGTCAGGAACAATTTGCCCTTAGTGAAGCTGTCCTGGCTGCCTTGGATCAGCTCTTTGTCTCATACGTGCTTAACATTGCTTGCATGAGGATCTGCTCCACAGTCTTCCCAGCCACAGGGATGAGGGTCTCCAATATATACATCCAGCCTCCTTTCTCCCCTTTTTAAAAATAGGAGCAGTGTTTCCCTTTCTTCAGGCACTGAGGACTTCACCTGACTGCCAGGATTTTTCATATATGATGGAGAGTGGCTTGGCAACAACATCAGCCAGTTCCCTCAGGCCCCTGGGAAGCATCTCATCAGGCCCCATGGACTTGTGGCTATTCAGTTTCATCAGGTGGTCTCAAACCTGCTCTTCACTTACAGTGGGAGGGACTTTGCTCCCCATTTTGCACCATGCTACTTGTGGCCTGGATGTGGCCTTTGTCCTTTTGATCTCCCTTGTAGAGCTATCTGAAGACAACAAATGTAATTTTATTTTGAATTTTTATTTTGTTGCTTAGGTTGCATATCATAATGCAATTAAAACGAGTTTATAGTATACCCTTCATCTTTTGCTTGGAAGTGTCCCCTGGCACCTTGCCTAACCCAAGTGGAAAAAATGAGCTCTTTAAACTAACAGAAGTATTTCCATGAAAATGCATTACATTAAGAATTCCTATTCAATTGCTAACAAGTCACCACAGTGAGAGCATCTCTGCAGCACCTGTGATGTTTTAGGGTGTGGCTCTGGTTCATCAGTGTGCGAGTGCAACCTGTCAGAGGAGAGTAGGTGTTGTAGCTATTTCACTCTTCTGACTGCGTAGGAACTTAGGGGTTCACAGCCCAAGGCAGCAACAGGTTTGAATTGCTCCCTGCTCTCTGGTGTTTAAATGCAACCTGGGTACCTAAAACCCTACAGGCAGTACTGTAGACATTTGCAATGTGGCTCTAAGGATGTAGGTAGTGGTTGTCTTTTGTTATGTATTAGCATATGTGCCAGTACAGCTCTGCATGTAAAATACTTGCAGGGAAAAATTACAAAGTGTAATTAGGCAGAGATGTAATTAATTGTGTGCTAGTAGTATTTGCATTATGTACTTTAATAAAGCTAAGAAATCAACTGATACAAGAATTTCACTTATTTTAAAAAGCTAAAGATACAGTGGATACATCAGACAAAACATGTCCAAATCTTTGGGAAAAACATTGATGTGCAACTTCCATTCCCATGGAACAAAAAATACTTGTTCCCTTTACTTTAACACACATTTCATAGCACACAATGTATACCTAAAGTATGCATAATTTAACACTGTAATTTTATCTTAGATTTCTGTTGACATGGATGAATGAACCACATTCTTTGGAAAACCACCTTATCATGCATAAATCATCCATTCTTCCTTTAAGAGCTCAATAAATCTTCCAGAGTAAGAGAGACTTCATTTTTCTAAGGGACAAAAGAGAAAGGGAACAAAACCACTTACTGGTTTTTGAGGGCACCCTCATATTTGAGCCCCAAATCAATTATCCTGGCATGTGCTGGGTCTGTGGGTGTGTGGGCCTTTGTGTTGTGAAGTATTGCTGAACTGAAATCGATACAGGGAGGTAGGATTTCCTTGTATTATGGTTAATTTCTTCTCTTTTATGCTGGTGGCACAACTGTATTAGAATTTATTAGACAACATTTTACCCAATACATAAGGATGCATGAAATGTATTTGTGATTTAATGGAGTTTCTAAGTAGCAGAATGGATGAAAAGAAATCACCCAGCCAAAATCCACATATATTCTGAGGAGAATCACACACACGCACACACCCCCAAAAAGGAAAGAGCTAGAAGCTTTTACCTGCCTTCAGTTTGTAGCAGTTGTGAGAAAACATAAGTAACAATGAGTGAAGAATATGTTAAACTATTGCTTGGCTAATTATCAACATACTCATACTTCCCAAGTTTGTAACTCTGTGCTTTTCTGTGTTTTTGTGGAAGGGCTAGTCAGGTTTTAAGAACATGCTACTCTTGAGGTATGCCCAACTGGTATGCCCAAGGGCAGACTTGGGAGATAGCTCCCACTTTACACAACAGAGAGTGATGGCTGCCTTGAGAGGGTGGTGCACATACTGGAGGGGGCAAATCTCCCTCTGAGTGTGCCTGTTTCGTTCTGAAAACTAGCAGGAGAATCTGATGTGACAAAGCTTATTTTGATGCCTGCTGTTAGGCAGTACAGCTTCAGGTCTTAGGTGACAGACTACTGGATTGGGATTCAAGTAATCTCAGTTTTACTCTGTTCTGGTTTTGTCTGGGGTGGAGTTGATTTTCTTCATAGTAGCTAGTATGGGGCTATGTTTGGGATTTGTGCTGAAAACAGTGTTGATAACACACAGGGATGTTTTAGTTGTTGCTGAGCGATGCTTGCCACAGGCTCAAGGCCTTTTCTGCTTCTCATGCTGCCTCAGCAGTGAGGAGACTGGGGATGCACAAGAAGCTAGGAAGGGGCACAGCTGGGACAACTGACCAAAGGGATATCCCATATGACCCAGACCATCTGGTGTCATGTTCAGCAGTAAAAGGTGGGAGAAGAACAAGAAAGAGTGGGGACTTTTGGAGTGATGGTGTTTCTCTTCCCAAGTAACTGTTACATGTGGTGGAGCTTTGCTGTTCTAGAGGTTGCCGAACACCTGCCTGACCATGGAAAGTGGTGAATTAATTCCTCGTTTCTCTTTGCTTGTGTATGCGGCTCTTGCTTTCCCTGTTGAACTGTCTTTATCTCAATCCTTGAGCTTTCTCACTTTTACCCTTCCAGTTCTCCCTCCCATCCTGCTGCAGGGGTGCAAGTGAGCAGCGGCAAGGTGCTTAATTGCTGTGTTAAACCACAGCATACAGTGTCACTAATCTGCTCTGCCAGCTCCTCCATTTCCCATCCCAACTTTCATCTGCCTTTTACATTTAGAGGTTAAGCTCTACAAAGTAGGCATAGTCTTTCTTTCTCTATGCTTTTTCAGCACATACAACCCAGAGAATATTTTTGTGGTGTTCACAGATGAGTAAATATGCAATACAGTACAGATTCTGAAGGCTACAAATCAATACACACACAAAGGTTGTGTGGGCAGTTGTTCCTGCTACTCTTGCTCAATGCGAGGACATCTTAATGTATCAGCTTCCTAGGAGCTTCACATCATCTGTGACTGCCTGCAAACCTGTCACACATGTACCTCTACACTTGCAAACAAATGCATACTCCCTAAAAAAAACCCATAGTGGGACAACTGTAATAGGCTGTTGGGTAATAAGATACTTGCATTTCCTTAGCGCTATTAGCTGTCCAAATGACATTCTTAGTATTCTATCTGAGCTAGTCATGGTGCTTAACACTTACAGCTTTCTTACCAATTTGGAAAGGTAATCCACACCGAAGTGCACTGTGCCTATAGAGAAAGTGCACTGAAGTGACTTGAATAACAAGGAATCCAAGAGAAATGATGAGTTTGCAGTCATTCATCTGGTCATTCAACAGAGCTAGAAGAAATTATATCATTCTAGTAGTAGAATAGGAATCTAGAAATCTGAGAACTAAAGGTTACAGCAGAGTTGGTTCATAAGATATTAAAATAGACAAAAACATTTTAAGAATATGATTAATGAATTACCAAGTGTCTTAAATATAAAAACAT